AGAAATAATTATTAATTAACTAAATTTGGAAGAAGAATAAGAGATACCCCTAAGAGGCCATACTACATGGCATAATATCTAGATTCGAGACTTGCAGAAGAGGGAGTGACAATGTTTAAGGAGCCTCAGAGACCTCGACATTCCTAGACACCACCTGGACTAGACCTGCTGAAAGTATATACAAATGAAGGATGCAATGGCACAAGAGGAATAAGTATTGGAATGATTGCTCATGATTAGGAACTTTGTGTTTGCAATAGCAATGCATGAAGAGGAAATTTGAGCACCAAAAATTGCATAAGAAAAAGCAACAGTATTTACTATAAAATGCATGGAAGAAAGACAAAAAGAGGGGCGGACATCAGCTAGAGCTAGCAATCCTCAATGGACGAGCTCTAGGAAAGGACGAGAGACATAGCTTCCGTTCTATTGATTCCTTCGACCATAATGTTAAAATTTCAATCAATGAAGTCACTAGTGTGCCCTAGAATAGCAAAGCATTGTAGTCAACTTAGCTATGACAACAAAGAGGTTGGATTTGGTTGTAGCCAGTATGGAGATGAACGTGCTAGCAGTTTTTTTGTGGTAGAAAAGACAAAGACTATCGCGGTGGCATTAACATTGGCATTGGGTTGGAAACAAAAAGAGAAAGATACGGTGATGACGAGAAAATAAAGAAGAGATTTTTATATTATTTGAAAAATCTATAGACCAAAACAGGTACCCTCTAATTAGGCACAACATGATCCTACCTAATCTAGATGGGTTAGAAGATGTACTTCATGTTATCAGGGACTGTCAATATGTATAATCTAGATGGCTAATCATAGTTCCATCCCAACATCCATTATTTTCTTGTTGGGTCTCGAGGAATGGTTTCTCACAATTTTAGTTCAACAAGGAGATGCGACTATCCGAGGATTCACTTTGTAATCATGGTCTCATGAGAAATTCTGGCCAGCGATAATTGGACATGTCTTAGAGATTAATGTCTCTACCCTGGATGTTGAATCAGTTGGCAACCTCCCCTGGATGAGTGTGCTAAACTAAATTGACGAGAAAGTCAAAACAAACCCTCTCTCATAAGCCATAGGGGGTCTGGCTCGAGATTTAGTTCAAACTTGGATTATTGGTTTCTCCACTCATGTAAGCATATGTGTTGTTTAAGAGGTGAAACACAAAGCTATCTGAGATGGGCTTACACTATTGCGGGTGATGGTTATCGTACAATGGTGGTACACTTGTACTCACATAATGAAGTTCACCTCATTATCTCGTAGGAAAAGTTCCACCCTTTGAGAGCTCTATTGGTCGACTGTTGAACTTTGTTGAGACATTCTTGGGAAACACAACTATCACACACTATGTGACACTAATACAATCACAGATGCTATAACAAATATTGACCACAAATTTGGAAATGGAGCACATTTTTGGTTGTTACCTCCTTCATCGACTATGCCAATGTTTGAATTATATTGTTTCTATGCTATAGTCGTTCCTTCTCTGTCTGGAGCTAGTTTCTTTGCTTTGGAGTTGTCTTATTCTAGACTTTAATTTCCATTGTATAAAAAAGCCATATATTTATGAGGAACCTGTCAGCGTCCAATAAAAAGGGAGAAATATTCTTATAAACCAATGTATTTTCTTAAAACATCCTCGATATTGAGCAGTCAAGGGCAACCTCATCATTCCAAGTTAAGGAAATAAAGATCAATCAAAAAGAAAATTCTACGGAGATAAAATGTATGAGAGGGCTATGCAATCGTGACCATAAATTCAAGCAAAGCAATCGAAGGAATTTCCCTCCAATTTCTTATGTCCACCATCTCCTTTATCTACTTGTTCCTTATTGATCAATGAACACTAATTTGCCTCCACCACCCCTCCCCCAACACAAATTCCAAAACTCATCCAATTCCACAATCTAGCGTTTTGGAATAATTGAAGTTTTCTCTTTCTGGGCTCCTTTTTGCTCAGGTATTCACTAGTGCCCACTGTTGTTCTTACAAGAAAGTAAGTTAGTTGAAAAAACGAATGCATCTTAAATAAATTCCTCTCCTTTTATAATGTTTCTCCCCAGCCTGATATGTTCGCTGTCATACACATCAGCTAGCCCATAGGGTTTGTTTTCATGGGCCCTTCCGTACCCCAAAGCTACATGACTCGTCCCCAAATCTCCCATTTGATGATAACCCAACCCCACACCCTAAAAAAGGGCTCCAGTCAGTCCTTCGATAGTTAGCTCGATTCCACCACCTCGGCCTAGGTCGTTTTGATTCGGTGTTGATTGCCCGCCCCAAGACTCCGCCCCACGCCAAATCCTGGCCCAAATCGGCTCGTCCCACTCATAAAGCCACTATTGTGTTGGATGCCTGGCGGAATCTCTCTTTGCATTGTCGACTCTTTTCTCGTGCTCACCTGTGGGAAAAAACCCATAAATACATTAATAATTAAAAAAAATTCTCAAAATACAAGAGTTATAACAAAATCCCCAAACTACCAAAGTTTGGATAGGTTCGAGTGAGTTATAACAAAATACCAGATCAATCCGAGTACATCGAGTTGAAGGGACTCGATTGGTGGCTAGGGACGACACAGATAAAGGGAGTTGTGCTCGATCTGTGATGCGTGGCGTGCATCGACAACAATGGACTCGATGCGCTTTGATTGGCCAGTGGATGAAGACGCGGATCGATCTCTTCATCCTTGCTCAACCGTTGATCGAGTGTGTTGGACTCGATCTACACCGTTCGATTTGCTCTGCCTCGAACAACAGAACGACGCAAATCGAGTGTCACTAACTTGATGCACCTAGATCAAGTGGTATTAACTTGAACCACTCCCTCCCCATAAACCTATAAATACACCTCCCATTCTTCATCCCATAGTGGCTACTCATGTACATCATGTTCAACCAATGGACAAGGTGCAATACGAGCCTCATATCCTGACCATGGATTATCATTTGGACCACCGAAATCTCTTGAACTGTAAACTCCACCCGAACCTTCACCGTGTTCGGTATAACCCACACCACCATACTGGCAAACCTCTTCTGCCTCAACATCATATTAATGTCATCATCGTCAGACAGAATTGAACCTTCATATACAAGTGGAGATCCTTCATATATAAGTCATCTTGCATACTCTTTGACCCCCTATGCAACACCGTTCCACACAAATGCGGCAAAGATCCTGCCAAGTAAATATTCTCTCAATCCGAATAGTACTTGATTCTTCATCTTCGTAGTCAATATTATTATGAAAATTTGTAATTCGACCATTCCACTAAATCAATAAGTTAAATTTTCGAAATTTTCTACTCATTTATGCAGTTTAAAGTAGCATAAATTACATATACTAAATATAGTCTGCATGCATTAATCCAAAATTATAATGCTCACTCAACTAACATAATCAGAACTTACCTCAAAATGCTTCTTCTTTGCTCTGTTATGGTGCTCCAACGATTGCAGTTTGTGTTTGGAAGAAAGAAGATAGAAATTATATGAGCTGCCAAAATATGCTGAGAGCTGGCTTTTTATTTTCGTAAACTGAAGAATAAAGATGTTGTAGTTCGAGTGTAAGGGACTCAATCTACTAGCACCAATAATCTTATCCCTATACCCTATTCTGAAGCATGTCGGGCAGAAAGCACCAGAGTAGAATAATTGGAGGGTGGTTCGTGGCCAACCCAGTAGAACTGCAGTTAGAGTCCTAGAAACTCTATGTATATGCTTTTAAACGAGTCCTACTCCCGCGATCAATGTGGATCGGGACCAAGAAGCTCGAACAAACTTCGGTCCGACATACAATGAGTTCTATGCGATCGATCCACCCTTGACCGAGTAAGAGCAGCTCGATCTAGGCTTGATCGAGTTTTACTCCCTCGATCCAGTTTAGCCATCCACTAGTTCGAGTCCAACAGTGTTGAACCGCTTTGTGGTTAGAGTGTCTCCAACTCGAACCACTTCAAACTTTGGTATTTGAGAATTTTATTGAAAGTTTATCAAATTCTTTTGGGCAAATACAATTTATTATCCAAACCTTTCATTTTAAACAAATAATAGCCAAACATTTTCAAAAACAATTTATTAAGGCTTAATTGCAAGTTTGGTCACTCGAATTGCTATAAAATTTTACGTTTGCCACTCAAATTAATTTATTCCATTTATAGTCACTCGAATTAGTTGAACAGTTCAAGTTCGGTCACTCTCCGTTAACCTCCGTTAACTTTGACTGACGTGGCGGTCAACTCTGACAGTTGACCGTTAAATGTTTGACGTGGCAAATAAAAAATAATTAAAAAATAAAAATTAAATTTTTAGAAATTACACATCATTATAAAAAAAAATTATAATTATAAAAAATGAAAAAAAGAAATTATCAAAAAATTATAATCTTGTTTAGTTGTGCGAACTTGCCGCCGCCGTCAGCAGCAACGTCGTCTGAAGCAGATCCATCGAGCAGTTCGGTCGCGAAGCAGATATGGAAATGGAAGGGGGAAATATGGTTTTGAGCATCCATGGACATGGGTAAACAAACTGGGAATAAAAGTACGGAGCTCACCAGGAATCTCTGCTTTGACTTTCCAAAGGCGGCAATCTCCGACAACAACGACCTCTTTTCCTATGCTACTGTTCTGCGGGGTTTTTTTTGTTGTTGTTTCTTGACCCTTGCTATTTCTTATTCTTCTTCTTTTTGGTCTATGTTTGCTAGTGCTCCGTTTCTACTCCTTTTCATATTTTGAATAAAAGCTTTCACCTTCATAAAAAAAAAAATATAGAACTGTAGTAAGAGATGAAACATAAACGGGGATGCAGCAAGAACATGGATGCTATGAGAGGGGATCATACCATTTAATCTCAAGTTTGTAGACATGCACACAGAGACCTCCATCAATCGTGGCGCAATCGCAGGGCTGTGCAACTGCGATCTGAACGGCGTGACGATTGGGACGACGAGGAGCGGTAATACGCGCGAAGGCGAGCTGCAATGGAACGTGGAGGTGATCAACAACTGTGCGTGCCCCATCAGCAACCTGGTCGTTTCATGCAAAGGATTCGCCAACACTCTGCCAGTAAATCCGGCTCTGTTCATGCAAAGGATATCACAGGCTCAAAATGGCGGCGCTTATGGTATCTCGTACACATTCCGACGCTCAAAATGGCGGCCGCCGGAACCCGGACTCTCGAATTCACGATCCTCTCAGCAGAGGACCTCCGCCTCGAGGGGAGACCCGTCAAGAAGAACGCGTTCGCCGTCGTGAAAACCGACCCGTTCTTCAATTCCAGGTCGACCAGGGCGGATTCCGACGGCGGGAGCTACCCTCAGTGGAACGAGAAGGTTGTCGTCGAGATGCCAATTCCGCCGGCCAATTCGGTGACATTGGAAGTCCGATCTGGAAACATAGTGGTCGGAGCGGCAATTCAAGTTTTTGTGATAATTTCTTTTTTTCATTTTTTATAATTATAATTTTTTGTGATAATGATGTGTAATTTCTAAAAATTTAATTTTTATTTTTTAATTATTTTTTATTTGCCACGTCACACATTTAACGGTCAACTGTCAGAGTTGACCGCCACGTCAGTCAAAGTTAACGGAGGTTAACGGAGAGTGACCGAACTTGAACTGTTCAACTAATTCGAGTGACTATAAATGGAATAAATTAATTTGAGTGGCAAACGTAAAATTTTATAGCAATTCGAGTGACCAAACTTGCAATTAAGCCAATTTATTAATCAAATTGTTAACTTTCCATCCGGTCAACCGTTAGTTGACTGTGACGTGGCAACTTGGTTGCTGAGTAGGAAAAAGTGGGTGACTTGGCAGCAAACACTAAATTAAATAAATAAATTTTAAAAAATTAAAAGAAGTTAGAGATCTTTTATCCGCTTCTTCTTCCTTCCAATCCTAAAATCGCTCGAACTCCCCAATCGCCCAACCCTAATTTCATTTCCTCCTCTTTTGTTGCCGTTAGTTCGGCGACTCTCCCGTCGTCCTGGAGCTGCTCGATGAAAATGACAACGAGCGACCGATGAGAGGAGGTGGCAACGGGGGCAGAGCTTCCTCTGGCGGGTAGGGAGGAGGCAGAGAAGGAGGTCATGCATCTCGAACTAGGCAAGCTTATCGAGGTTGGCCAGATGCCTCTTGTTGCAATCGGTGGTGACGAGGTTCTTCGAGATGCGATTATCCACTTCCCGAAAGGGAATTGCAGGCAGGAGTGGGAATCAATCGACGAGAATCAAGGGTATTTCAAGGTTTTCTCGAGAATTGCAGGCAAGCTGGCAACAACTCTTAAAGTCCGATAACGATTATGACAAGATTTTCTTCAAAGTCGAGATCTAGGGTTTCTGGAAAAACTCTCATGGTTGGTTCTGATTTAAAATGGGCATTTCATCCCCTGCCTATTCCAGATGCAGTCTTTTCAGGTGGAGAAATTGTCCCCCGCTTCCGTCCGGAAGCGCCGTGATCTTCACCACCGCGGGGCTCCCGTTCAGATGCTCGTCCCTTGTTCCTCTACCTCCTCCAGGGTGGATTCATGAATCACGAGATTCGCTACCATGACATCGAGCTTGAAACCAGGAGAGAGCTCGGATAGCGGCTGAGTCGACGCGACGTGCTCTTGGTCGTACAGCTCCGCCACAGGCGCCGGATTCATCGCCGGATTCACTGTCGATTTCAACGCCAAAAACAAGTAATCATCAGCCTCTGCTCTGAGTTCCCCTTCCCTCCACTAGAATCTACCCGAGATAGGATCTCCGTTGCCGAGTCGCTCTTCCCTTCGTCAACCGTCGGGACTTCCATCAACACCGGCCTCGTGCAAATCGTCGGAGTCACGGCGGAGGTCGTCGTTTGGCGGTGGTGGGACTAGAGGAAGAGAAGGGAGAGATGAGATTCTGAATCGTCTCCAACCACTCCCTTGGCTGCCGACGCATACTTGGTGCAGGACGACGATCTGAATTAGTTGGAGAAGAGGTTAGGGAAGGATGGTTCGATGAAGGGAGAGATGTGGGGATAACATAATGTAATTTTGTGGTTGTTGTGTGATGTAATTTTTTTTTCCTGGTTAAAAAATATTTTTTTTAGTGGACTGTTTTGCCACATCATCATTTTCTAACCAACTCAGAAGCTACTGTGCCATGTCAGAGTCAACTAACAGTTGACCGGATGGAAAGTTAACGATTTGAATGTTAAATTGTTTTCGAAAAAGTTTGGCTGGCTATTATATTGTTTAAAACGAAAGGTTTGGTTATTAAATTGTTTTTACCCAATTTTTTAATTAACCTTGTATTTAAGGAAAAAATCGGCCTTCCTCGATGGTGAGATTTCCCCAAGCCGCTCCCGTCCCGTTACTGGCAAGGCTAGCCTCAGCGAATCTCCCAAGCGCGCCTCCTTTCGTCGTGCATCTCCCGCCTGCTCAGCCCCCTTGACTACCGACTCCATTCCATTCCATCAGTCGTTTTTAATGTCAGACGTCAGCTCGAAGACGAACCAACTCCGCCTCATGCTCCTGGGCCTTGCGCTGTTGCTCGTATAGCTTCGTCATCCTCTCCTGCTGTCGATCCAAAACCTCCAAGAGCTGCTGGCCAATTTCTTCGTCTATGGATTGGTGGCATCGGGCGACAGGGTAGATGGCGGCGTTGTTCTTGGAAGCGGGCAACTAACCTCTTATATCAATTGACGCTTGCTCAGTTTCACTAATTCTTGACAACATGTTTGGTGTAGATGCTGGAGTTGCTCTAAGCAAATCTGTTATTGGCTCTTACCTGGTTTGCTGCGGTTTGCCTGAATAATCTAAACTTGGAGGGCGAGGGTGCAGAAGCTATTGCCAATGCGCCGAAAGACTCTGCACATTCTCTTCAAGGTCTGGATATGGCCGGCAATGACATTACTGCAAACTGTGCTTCTTCCTTGGCTGAGCAGTTTCTCACCTAGCCGACAATGAGCTGAAGGATGAGGGCGCTATCTTGATTTCTAAGGCTATAGAGACTGGGCATGGCTAGTTGAACGAGGTTGATTTGAGCACAAATGCAACTAGAAGAGCTGGAGGAGGATCTTGGCACAAGCTGCGGGGAATAAGCCAGTTGCTCAATTTGAATGACAATTTCATATCCGATGAAGGGCTTTGATGAAGTGAAGAAAACATTCGAGAGCTTGCTGACGCGCTTGTCCCCTTGGATGAGAATGATCCTGAAAGTGAAGATATTGATGAATGATGAAGATGATGAACTGGAGTCAAGACTCAAAGAGCTGGAGATCAAGAATGACTTATGTTAATTGACTTTATTATCAGAAAACTTGTCTGGCCAGGTAATCTCTTCTCTAAAAGCTTCTTTGAAGAACCCCTTCTCTTTTTGTGTATGATAGCCCAGCTGCATTAGCTCAATGTAGAAGCTTTCTTTAACTTCTACAGCTTAGGTCTCAATGGAAGTGTGTATGTATTGTATCCAGGAGCGGAAATCTGCACTTTTGAGCAGTCTAGCAGCCTGTATGCACCTTGGAATTTTTTTTTTGTAGATTACAGTATTCATTAGGTAATGTTGCATTCTACCATGTTTCTCCAGCCAACATTTTGTCTCTGGTCTTCACAAGGCTTTATGTACTCTGTGATGTGCCCTCAAATTTGAGGTTCTGAACAACTAGTAGCAAGGTAGTGCTTTTGTGTTCATACTTCCATTACAAACTAGGATTGTCCAATGCTTATTAGGTTTCTGTAATTAGTAATTACCGTCATATCCGTTGCTTGTGCAGATATAGACAGACATGAATCATGAATGTGCTAAAAAAGAGTGTTTGGGTGGTGAATATCCTAGTTGATGGTTTTCCAATTTGATGAAATTTTGACCAGTAGATGGATTTATGAATAAGAAGGATCTAGGAGAAACCCATTTGTTTGGTGGAAATGTGGATTGTCCTGTGGTTCCCCGTGAAAGTATCAGAGTTCAAAAGGAAGTTACTTTTCATATTTTTTCCCCCCAGGATTCCCCTAGCCAAATCACGCCTTGTTCAGATAAGGAGGCAAAATGATGCCATACAAAACTCAGGGTAGAAGATAGAGAATGTATATATAGGTAAAGTGCTGAAAGTCGCAGCTTGTAGGGAGTTGGCTCTTCTACACAGCTGCAGGAACTTTGAGGGCTTCCAGGATTTTATCATCCAACTCAAACGCCATGGTCTTCTTGTCTCTGCCAATCTTCACATACTCCTCGAACCGCTCTTTCAGATCCTCAGGCAAGTTTGTGGTTCCCTGCCATCCCAAAATTTCCTTCGCTGCTCGTGGCTCAGCATAGAAGTGCTGCAACAACAACAACAACAACAACAACATACATTAAATATCCACATTTCGCTGGCGTGCTCATAGGAGAGAAACAGAGGTTTCGTTGTTGCGCGATCACTTCTTTTTTGTACCATGTTTCTGAAGGGAAAAGTGTGATCTTTTTTGTACCATGTTTCTGAAGGGAAAAGCTTTCTTGGCGTCGACCCCGATAGCTTTGGGATCATAATGGACGATCTCAACCGGGAGCCCAGCAGCTTTCGCGCAGAGCTTGGCCATTCCATCCAGAGTCACTGCTCTCTCGCTCACACTGTTGAATATGTTCCCACTCGCTGCTTCCGGCTTCTCCACAGCCAGAGTGAGCATCGACGACAGATCCTTGGCGTGCGAAATGTTGGTCAGCTGCATCCCTGATCCCGGGATTGGCACCGGCCTGTTCCGTACAATTCCTGTGAGAGTATGAAGGTCAAGTGAGTTCCTCTTATCTTTTCATTACGCGCAGCGTGATGATGTTATTTACTTACGGTCGAAGAACCATTCCTCGCAGTCTTTGTTGTTGCCAGAGCCGATCATATACTGCGGCCGGAAGGAAGCCCAGTTGCTGAATGTCTCGGCCATGTACTTCTCCACTCCGACGTGGCCAGCACTGCCTTTCACGGCATCCTGTGTCGTATGTATCACCATTTTAGTCTTCCAGTTACAGATAGAATAGTGACAAGAAAGAAGGAAAGGCTCTTACGCCTTCAACATGGGGAGGCTCCTCGGTCGGCAGGTAAATTCCGGCACTACTGATGAACAGAAACTGCTTCACTCCCGTCTCTTTTGCCCAGTCTGCTACCGGCCTACATTCCATTCTTGTTCTGTTAGAATCCCCCCAACTATGGAAAATGGAGCAGTTTGTCATTGTACCACAGAATTTCAATTCGAAAGCAGAATGTGTCAAACCTGACAGCATCGAGGTCCTTGCCATTGTTGTCGAGCACAACATCAAACGTCTCGCCGGCGAGGACTTTCCCGATTTCCGGCGGGTCTCCCCATACGGTGCGACCTCCGGCGCTCACAATTTCCTACCGATGGAAAGGGGGGTGGAACAGAGGCAGGGGAAGTAAAATTCAGAAGAAATCAAAGAGCAGATAAATCGAAACGACACGAATTTTTAGTTTCTCTATAGTTACACTGAATCTGTTGAAGG